CAAGGGTCAGGCAACAGATCGTTTTTAAGAAATAAATTTTTTATTTTTAATTGTTTAATTCTTCTTTTGTGTACATATTCCCATTTTCTTTTCCCCAATTGGGAAAAATTCTTTCTCCACTACTAACAATCATGTCAAGCGATGAAAAATAATGGAATTATATAAACGAAGTTAGAAAGTTACATTATAGTAACTTGAAATGATTATGAACAGCAATAAATTGTGCTCGAAACGTCATTAATGACGTCAACCGTTAGTCTCCAAGATAGTATTCTAAGTGCTCAAAGACTGTTAGCAATAAAACGAGGAGATTTTCAATGAGATAACACCCAGTGATAAGTTTTGAATAAAATAGTCATCAAACAGTTTTTAAGAAAAATGCACCTGGTTAAACCTTAGCGACCTAGATGTGAGAAGATAATCTTGAAAGTCTGCTATTCGTTGGATAATGTGACCTAGCACCATAATGATAGATCCACGATAAACACTGTCCACGAATTGAAGTGCAAAATTTCATTCCGATGTCGTTAGGGCACTGAGTTGAAAGATCATTAGCAGTGAGGTTAGGGTTAGAGTTAGGATGTTTCACTTTTATAATCTGTGTTCATTTTTAGTGTAAACAGCTTTAGAGAGTTCGATGGTCAGAGACAATCCGCCATAGGAGGCCTTGGATCTACGCCTAGGTTTCATGCTAGTTGGCTCTCACCAGTAAGTCATCAAGGCGCATATGCAACCATTTTGAAGGAACAGCTCATTTCCCTTCTGAGATTCGAACCCGCATCGCCTAATGCTGCAGTGAGTCAGAGACGTTACCAGCATTGAGCTATTCAGGCTAGCGATTGTGCACCGTGATGGCGAGCCAGCCCCCTAGTGGCATGGTGGACACATTGCAAACCTGACTAACTGATAGAGTTCAGTCTGCACCAAAGAAAGGACTAGACACACACACATCACACTAGTTACAAGTGTTCAATGAAAGTTTTAGAATGTTCACAACTGTCAACTGTGATTTAGTAAATAAAACACCGATTATTCTTATTGTTCACCTCAAAGTCAGTCATGTGCTCATATTACTTTGATGGATGTGATGTGCAAACTATGAACTTCAGTCAAGGGAACTCTTGTTCATTACGCAACCTTTAGCTGCGTAGAAATTGTCAATGTCCCACACTTCCCAGTTAGAGAACCACTGAAGAGTACCGCACAGAGCTGTTTTGTCCTAGTGCTTGAGACTCTTCAGCACACACCATGGTTCGAACCCTATAATTTTTCGTTTACAAGGCTAGCTAGCTCGTAGGCCATTCAGCTACTGCTATCCGAACCAATGGGCAGCAATGGATTCCATTTTCAAGCATTTGATAACCTATTTAGTAAGACCATCAGCAGGTGTCATCATCTGGGAGTAATAGTCCTCGCACCCGACTGGTAGACCCACCTAGAACCTCAGGAAACTTCGTCCTGTAGGCCATCATCACCAGCGAACAATGAATTAATTTCTGAAGAGTGAGTTTGCATAGCCTTGGTTTGTTTCAAGTCCCACTACAGATTGACATCAGTTAGAGAAACACTGGAAAACCACCAGGGAGTACTGAACATATGTCTCGTACTACTTTAGGACTCCTCATCAGTACACAGTCACCCGGAACTTACAGTGTTTACTAGTGACAACCGGTTACAGGAGAAAGTTTTCCAGATTTCCAGTAAGAAATCGTGACCAGTGAGGTAGAAGTTGGAATTTATTCACTGGCAGCAGGATGAGGTCCCAATAGCGGAATGGTCTATCAGCTTTCCTTGTAGCCGGAAGATCCTGGGTTCGGACTGTGGTAGGTATCTACTGTCGATGAGTCCCAATGTAACGACAGAAGACAAGGGCCAGGCAACAGATCATTTATTGAGAAAATCAAGAGATATTTATAGATTTTTATGTACATAATTATTCGTTATTATTAGCAGAGAAACAGCGTCTTCTGATTGGTCGTTTTTTCACTGGAAGTTATTCTGTTACCTCTTTGTGGCCATATTTCTAGGAACCGTATCCGCCCACGCAAATTCTGCTGTGATTGTTTGTTGAGTTAGTCTTTGTTCTTGTTCTTTTCTCATGACCAAGATTTGGGACGTAAACATTGACGTAAACTGCTGTCTACCAATTTGGCTAGCAGACAGCTGTCACTACACCAAGGACTACGACGAAGCAACTCTGTCTCTCTCCAGTACTCCCTGATGCTTTTCTAATGCTTCTGCAACTTATTTCAGCTCGCGATACACGTGAATCCATTAAATCTCTGCAATCTAACTCATGGATCTCGAGAATTGGTTTGTAGGGATTTGATTGATTCAAGAGTTACAGGATTTCATCATGAGTTGACATAGGTCAGAGAACCATTGGAAAACCTGGTTGTACTGGACAGCTGTTTCGTTCTAATTTGGGACTTCATGACAGGTCGGGTGTGAGGACAAATACTCGCCGAAGACATTGACTAGCGGTCGCACTATGTCGTGCGTGAATTGGCAGATGTTGGAATTCATGGGCCATTGGATCGGGTCTACGAAATCGTCTTGTAACCAGAATGTTGTGGATTCCAACCCTGGCGGTTGGTGCTTACTGCTGAAGAGCCAGTCCCAAACTAGACAGGTGAAATACCTCTCTAGCAGTACTCCCAGCTGGTTTCCCAATGGTTCTATAACCGATCAAGAGATACAAAAAAATAAATGCAATACCAAATGAACTGAGCTTGTGATCAAACAAATTATATCGATCGTTGCTCAACGAACTTGATTTTTCCTGCTCGCTCAGGAACATCTACCAGTGTTGTGGTTAAATAATGGTGTAGTAAAAACCATCATCAGTTCGATATTAGACCACTAGGTTCAAACCGGCCGGTCACAAATCCAGCTAGCATTGCAGAATTCCTGTCCACCATCACTTATCGTGTACCCGATAAATTGCCAAAATCATCCAGGTACTAACCGAATAGTCCAAGCAAAGAAGGCTATTACGACTCGCCTAAATCATCCGATGTTCTGTTTGTGTGCAAAAGGAAGGGGTCTAGCCAACCACTACTACTGCACTGGCGGGTGTTCTCTGGGACTTATAAATCAGTGAATTCTCTATTATTATTATTATTATTATTATTATTATTATTATTAATTTGTCTGATATTCATTCAGTGTGTAGTGTTATGTTGATGCTACTGAACTGTAATCCAATGATTTTATTATTATTGATTCGATGTTATTTAAACAACATTAATTTTCAACGTATATATGCGCATCCTTGATAACGAATTGGTGTCATTAACAACAACAATAATGTCACTGTCTAAATAACATCGAATCAACAATAATAAAATCATTGGATTATAGTTTGACAGCATCAACGTGACACTACACACTGAATGAATATCAGAAAAATTAGGAAGACTAATAATAATAATAATACAGAATTCATGAATTTATAGGCTCCACAGAAGGCCAGCCAGGGAAGTAGTAGCGGCTTGCTAGTTGGACTTGCTTCTTCTGCACATATAGAGAGAGCACCGGTTGTTTAAGACGAATCTCTATAGCCTCTGTTGTTTGTAGTATGCGGTCTTGTACACCATTAAGCCACTCAATGGAACCCGATCCAATAGCCAACCAGCCCATGAATTCTAATTTCCGCCAATTCATGCACGACCTAGCCCGACCACTTCACAATGTCTTCTTCGATGAGTTAATGCCGTACCAGTAGGGTACATGAGGTCAAAAATGAGGGCAGTTACTCATCGAATAAGACATTGAGAAGTGGTCGCTCTATATTGTTTGTGAATTAGCAGAAATTGGAATTCATGCACTGATCATTGGTGAATGGTCTACGAACTGGCTCCTCTTATAACTGAAAGGTCCTGGTTTTGAACCCTGTCAGTGTGATGGATGGGTTCGTACTGCTGAAGAGCCAGTCCAGTCGTAGGCAATAGGACGGAGGCAACAGCTGTTTGGCAGTACTCTCTATGACTGGTTTTCCAATGCTGGTTCCCTAACGAACCTATGTCAGTACTCATGATTTTTCTTATTCCTCTACGTACTCAGTGGGACATAGGGTGACTTCAAGCTAGAGGCCTGAAGTTTCAGCAGCAGTGATGTTTATTTTTTACGCGATTGGGCTGCTGTTAGCCTCATGCCTAAAATTCCCTCTTTACAAGTCTTGTTACCGGCCTAGCGAGATAAAGGAGTGAGTCGGCCAGGGATCGAACTCCGGACCACCTGAGTGGTTGGCGAACATCCTACGGCTGTGTCACAGACGCATTGTGCTCATGATGAAATCCTCCAGCCAATCGGTTCCTGATGGGTTGGCTGGTTCGTTACCGGAGATCCCTTCCTGTTGCTGATCTTTTCTGGCCGGCCATCTGATCTCGAGCGAGCGAAGTATTGAGCGAAGACAGCTGTTGATGGAGGTAGGTAGTTTGTTCAAATTGGTCTTCTTGACGCGGAGCCAAGTCTCCGATTAGTATATAGTAGCACTCCCCTCACATAAGAGTTGCAAATTCGAAGGACTCAGTGCATGCACAGCACTATCGTAAAACTGTTGGATGAAGTGTATAACTGTTGGCGGCACCATTCGTACTCACCCCTCACCCTTTGTAAACATACACAAACACACATGGAAATCAATGAAGAAATTAGTTTATTATTATTATTATTATTTATTGACAAATAAATGCAAATATTTGTACCATTTGTTGTAAGTTCATTTATATATTCAATGTAACGAGATATGTATGCGTGTTATCTGTGTGTGTGTGCATTTGTATGTGTATATGTGTGTTCAGCATACATGTACATCCAGTTTTAAAAAAATCTGGACACACATGTACACAAAGTATGTAAGACAGACTTGTAAATACACACGCGTATTATAATGGATGGTATATGTGTATAAATGTGTGTGTACGCCTGCATATGAGTATATATTATGTGTACATTACGTACATGTGTGTCTCTCCAGACAATCATTCCTATTGGTTAATTAATTGAATGTGTCAGATAGATGACCCTGTTAGTGATAATTGTGAATTTGTATGGCTTGTGTGCATCTTGGCCGTCCATCCCACCATCCAACCATCCATCCATCTGTCTCTATTGTCAATGTGAAAAAAAAAATAAAAAATCGAAATCGACTTCACAAATTCTTCATCATTAGGAGCTATTTTACACATAATTAAGAACCAAAAACGAATCATCCCAAAAATAATTAGCTGTCATGTCATGAATTCTACATCGCAAACTACTAGTCAATCTTTGGCTAGGCGGATTTGAATTTTCCGACTCCTGCTGATTATGGGAAGGTGATGAGGAACCTGGGTGAATATTTTTTGGCAATATTTGGAATAATTTTGAGTTATATCTGCTATACCACTTATTTCTCCTCATTGTCATGTTCACCCTACCTCTTCACACTTTAGATGACAGTTAGTTATCAGACGGACTAAAATTAATCTTTTTGAATCGAGTAATCGAATTCTCCTCCTTGTAGATTTTGGAAATAAATATTTCAACTCAGACATCAACATCACAAATGAATATCGGCTTTGTAATTCACCTAGTAATATGCTCATTAACACAATTCATCATCTATCCATCATTGACTGAAGAGGTCGCCAGAGGAGATCCATTGAGAAAATACTCTACGCATGATACACATCGTTTGACGAGACACCTAAGAAGTGGTCAGCTGTTGGTTACTCCTGGTAGGAGATACCCGTATCACAGGCTTGCTCGAAATCATTTGAATCAAACAAATCGGTTTAGTAAATTCAAATCAATATCTACTGAGCATAGATTAAATTCACCCTACAACAATCATTCAACTCATAATAATCACAATAATCATGAAAGACTTCTTAATGCGATAGACTATTTTATTCCAGAATCGGTAATATTTGAACCAGAAAAAGATTTGGCACAACTGTATCCTCGAAGTTATTGGCTTGATCCTTGTAAAGCAAGTGAGTTCTCAGAATGCTCTTATATATGTTTTGAACCGGGTAATAAATGCAATAGTTGTCTACTGATCCCAATTTGTTTTAATGACCTCTGAAAAACTGTTGTTGCTCCATGAATATTATTATTATTGTTTCCTTTCCTAGAAGAATATAGGGTTTCGGTCACACGTCTCCATTGTGTTCGGTTCTCCGACAACGTTTTTACACCTGGCTTCACATGTCCGCCCACATTGTTTCACCTCCTCTTCACATGACCTCCTCCTTGTCACCCTCGCACTGATGACCAACTTACTCGCCGCTTCCCATTCGGATTCCACTCGAGCGAAGGCCTGGCATGTGATGTCACTAATCACTTGATGGTTTGTTTTCTCAGAGTATGGCCACAATACAATCCTCCATTTGATTTCCCGATCCTCGAGCTTTGATGATGTCCTCATCAGTTCCAATTGCCTGTAGTTGAAACTATGCTTTCCAGATGGCTAGGTCGGTAGGTAGGTAAAGAAGCTTGCTTCTCGCAGATTCCTCCCATTTATACTGGCTGATTATCGTTTTGTTGCTGCTGCTGTTGGCGGGTGGGAATCTTCATCACCAGCTCTGTTTTCTCCATCTTCACCTGAAGGGAAGTCCTATCTTCTGTGGATGCTTCTTCTACTAACTTGTTGATTTTCACTTGCATATCTTCCAGTTTGTGGGAAATCAGACATATATATCATCGGCGAAATCGCTGTCCAGATCCTCCAAGTTTTTCTTTAGTGTGGATCCATTTTATGCCTGTCTCCTCGTTGCCCACTTTGTGTCTGTCACATTATCCAGTTAGTCTACCGCAATCAAGAAAATCATTGGAGATAGTAAATAGTACTAGGCAATAGATTTTCTGGTGAAAATTACCTGAGTTCTTGGTTATAAAACCGACCATATATACGTACTCTACAACAATACAGTGTATATTACACTCAAGACCAACTTGTTCTTTTGTCAAATAATGCAACACTTAAACTTTTTTCCACCCTTTCACAAAACCGCAGTCATAGGATATGACTTAGAGAAAAAAGAAGAGACAAGAATATTCCAATTTGAAGTCAGTTAATTCTCAGTTGTATTGTGAATTTTATGAGTAGTATAAGAAACATCAATTTAACCAGAAATAACTGAGTGACAGACTGACTGCTTTCAATATAGTACTTTGTGCCGATGTGCAGCAGCAGTTCGAGTCACCACACTTTCTCCATCTAGTACATAAAGCAAGAGAAGAAAGTAAAAAGAAATGCAAAATAGAGACAGTAAATAGAGGTAGTAATATGGAATAGTAATATTGAATAACAATATAGTTTTATTAGGTATTAAAAGTCACAAGGAGTGAATGTATCTGCGGCAGCCATTGAGAACTATTTTGAGCCGTATCACTAATTGTCTCCAGCCGCTGGCATTTACCGTCCCGAGTACCCAAACCAGTGAATAGCTGGCTGGCTTAAAGTATCTGTTGTGGATTTCATTAACTAATGAAGCCATGTTTTGGTTAGACCACCTCTGGCTGTTTTCCAACCCGACCCTATGGCAGCTAACATCGCCCGTCGAGTAAGGCGATGGTTAGGCATGCGTAACACATATCTTAACCATCTGAGTCGACGTAACTTCGCAGCCTCGTTTATTGATTTTCCTTAAAAATCACTTTGATTTATTTATTTGAGTAGACAAAATAAACTTAAGCCGTCCTGCAAATACGTATTTTCGAGGGAATTCTCGTCAGTTTTTACAATTGCATTGTAAAATATATATGAATAATAGATATCTGAAAAAACCGTGTTATTTCAGTCACCGGAAGAGATAAACATTCTCAGTCAGATTTGAATGCCATAGGAGGGAAATAGAGTTCTAAATGAATACAAGAATTATAAGCAGTTAAGTAAACAAGCAAGTAAAGAAACAAAATTAAGTCATCGGTAATCAACAAAGTTGTCATCATGATAGTAGAAGTGGTTGAGTAATTCTCTTTTGTATGCACAGCTCCGGTTTTTCTATGTGAACGGCCAGAGTTTTAGCAATATTCACTTGTATTGAACTCTTAAGTAATTTTATACTCTCTACTTTGTTCCTATATTTACATCCTGAGTACAACTCAATCATTAAACTATTCATATTATTACATTACTCCTTTTTAACAAATATTTGTGACAACTCATCACCTCCTTTGTTACTACCCTAGTTTCATTAACACACTATTTTCTGTAAAGTACAGAGAGGATTTGTGGGGGATTTATTGACTTCTCATCAATTAGAAAAGCTCTAAGAGCTATGGACTCACTTATTCTTCCTTCTCAACAATTTCTACAGAAAACGCAGTTGTGTCATGGATTTATGTTTTGTAGATAGATCATGACCGATGTTTAGTGCGGTTATCTGTATTTACATTCTAGATGTGATCGATAATTGGGTCTAACTAGCACTTCAAAGTACCAAGAAAAAGTTCTTCCCCCTAGATGGAGATCACCTAGGAAGAGAGCTTATCGCATAAACTCCTGTATTTTTACGTCATTTAGGTAGGTAGAGATTCCCTTTAAGCCCCTAACTCTTCTTGACACCACTATCTCCTCTCTATTGTCAACCTCAGACACACGCTCAACTCGTCGTATCCCCTTTGAGTTTTACTCGAGTTAGGGCTTAGCGTGCAAAGTTATCCAACGATCTCCTCAGTATGTGTCGGATCAGTGTCAAATTTTCTTCGGAACAATATGTTGAGTGATAAGTTCTTGGTTGGTTTGTTCCTAGAGTTTGGTGTTTTAATTCATTCTGACCATTTGATCTTTAGTATATGTGCATATTTATATACCGAAACATAACGCCCTTTGTACCATTTGGTCTCACCTTGTAAATAATCCTGAAAGACACCTCCAATGGAGATGCTTGGCTTGAGTTCACCAGGTGCTCGAGAATTGAGCTAGTTACTGTCTTGAATTGTCCTATTGCTAACCACGCCGGATAATGTTCATATATACGTTTGGCAAGTGTGCGGCCGCTTTATGTAGGTGGCCAATATAATTAGGTTCACATGAACAAGTGAATTTATAAACACACATTGAAGTGGCCCACACAAATTGGCAGTAGTTGATCCTGCACAAATCCAATGATGATTTGTCGCCTGTTAAAACTGATCCGTTGGTCAGGCTTTTCTCAGTGATCTGGATAACCAGTGGTTCTTCTGAACCTCAGCCACAATATCACCTTTGAATTCAACGTTCATAAATAGCAGTTTCTTTGGCACCGTCTGGGCTGACCAAATGCATTGTTCCAGTTTTGTTTCTGAACGCCTACAAATACTTTTATTTTCAAATATTAGTTTTGTATGGATTTTTTTTATTGTTCGGGGGATTTCATCATGAGCTGACATCAGTTAGAGAACTATTGAAAAACCAACCACAGGAAGTACTGCCGAACTCAGCACCTTCTGGTTACAAGGCGAGCTAGCTGATTCAATGGGCAGCTTGTCCATGAATTCTAACTGCTGACAATTGATGCACGACACATTGCAACCACTTCTAGATGTCTTCTTCAATTAGTTACTACAAATATTTGAAAATTGATCTGATGCTCACTAGCCACTCGCCCTATTCAAGTAGGTAGTTTCCTGGGGTTCTAGTGGGAAGCCATGATCAGTAGGATATGGCAAGTCGAAGGTGAGGATAATAACTCATCTAAGAAGACATTGCAAAGTGGTCATGCTATGTCATGCATGAGGTGGCACAAGTTAGAATTCATGGACACGCTGCCCATTGGATCAGTTCCCAGTGAGTGGCTGCTTAATGGTCTACGAACTAGCCCGCCTTGTAACCAGAAGGTCCTGGGTTCGAACATCGGTAGGTGCTGAAGAGTCGCAAACTAGAACAAATCAGCTGTCTAGCAGTATTCCTTGTGGCTGGTTTTCCGATGATGGTTTTCTAACCAACCCATGCCAGTGCTCATGATGAAACTCTCCAACCAATCAAACAAACTAAATCCCTATCCCCAGTATTTTTACACTTCTACGTTACTGCAAATTAACCTTTTACCAATCTAATCTGCTATACCTTCGCTTAACCTCAAAGTGTGACAAATTTGGTATAAGAGTATTTGAATAACTACACTTTTGATATGATATATTTCAACTTGTTGACAGAATGCTTGATGCTCGGTTGTTTTTTCGACGAAATCCATTGATTAGATATAATATGTGTATGTGGATAGTAAAGTGAGCTGGTGATTCAGTGATCCAATTCTCGCTAACCATACAAATTGTCTAGGATTCGATTCTTGGCTGACGCACATCTGTACCTCTCCTAGTTATCTGCAAGTCCGGCATAGACGGAAGGGTGGGCATGAGGCTAGCAACCACACACCCTTTAGAAAAACACCAAATGCTACTGAAACATCAAAACTCAAACTTGAAGCTACCGCATGTTCCACACAAACAGAACGCAAAGGAATAAAATAGGAATAATAATGTGGATGGAGAAGTCATTATGCCATGCATGTTATTGTTTATGTAAGTGGTATTCCTATTTCTTAGGGCTTGAAATGAAAATACGAATCATGAGTTAGCTATGACTAGGAGTATCTATCAACTGGAAGATGTTTTGGATACCGTGGGACGATTGATCTTCTGTTTTTGTAGGATAAAGCTGGTCTCTGTCATAAAACTGATTCATCATTCTCAACTTGAAACTGCAAAAATAAATAAATACTTTTATGTGAGGTTCGAAAAATATTCTTTCGTATATATACTACTTAAATACAGTGATTGGACACTAGTCAGTAATTAGTGCGATGTGTCTGGCTGGTCCTGTCTCTTTGGTGCAAACTGAATTCTATCCCTAAGTCAAGTTTGCAATGTAACCACTATGTCATTAGGTAACTGCCTGGCTCGCCATCATCGTGCACACTGATTTGATTTTTTGATTTTATTTATTTTGATTATAGCTTGATTTCACACAGTATTTTGGTATAAGTATGGAATTTTCAGTATGTGATGC